GACTATCATCGTCCGCCGGACTCCAAGACTACGAAGATACAAGATTGAAGACTCCGTCCCGTGTCCAGATGGGACTTTCCTTGGCGTGGAAGGCAAGCCTGGCGATACGGATATGTAGATCTCCTACCATTGTAACCGACTCTGTGTAACCCTAGCCCTCTCCGGTGTCTATATAAACCGGAGGGCTTTAGTCCGTAGGACACGACATACATTACAACAATCATACCATAGGCTAGCTTCTAGGGTTTAGCCTCCTTGATCTCGTGGTAGATCCACTCTTGTACTACCCATATCATCAATATTAATCAAGCAGGACGTAGGGTTTTACCTCCATCAAGAGGGCCCGAACCTGGGTAAAACATCGTGTCCCTTGTCTCCTGTTACCATCCGCCTAGACGCACAGTTCGGGACCCCCTACCCGAGATCCGCCGGTTTTGACACCGACACTCCCCTCTCTCTTTCCCCTAAAGCCCAATAAGGCCCATATACTCCCCGACGATTCCCGTAACTCTTCCGTACTCCTATAAATACCCGAACCAATCGGAACCTTTCCGATGTCCGAATATAGTCGTCCAAGATATCGTTCTTTACGTCTCGACCATATAGAGACTCCTCGTCATGTCCCCGATCTCATCCGGGACTCCAAACTCCTTCGGTACATAAAAACACATAAACTCATAATACCGATCGTCACTGAACTTTAAGCGTGCGGACCCTACGGGTTCGAGAACTATGTGGACATGACTGAGACACGTCTCCGGTCAATAATCAATAGCGGAACCTGGATGCTCATATTGGCTCCCACATATTCTACGAAGATCTTTATCAGTCAAACCGCATAACAACATACGTTGTTCCCTTTGTCATCGGTATGTTACTTGCCCAAGATTCGATCGTCGGTATCTCAATACCTAGTTCAATCTTGTTACCGGCAAGTCTCTTTACTCGTTACGTAATGCATCATCCAGCAACTAACTCATTAGCTACATTGTTTGCAAGGCTTATAGTGATGTGCATTACCGAGAGGGCCCAGAGATACCTCTCCGACAATCGAAGTGACAAATCCTAATCTCGAAATACGTCAACTCAACAAGTACCTTCGGAGACACCTGTAGAGCACCTTTATAATCACCCAGTTACGTTGTGACGTTTAGTAGCACACAAAGTGTTCCTCCGGTAAGCGGGAGTTACATAATCTCATAGTCATAGGAACATGTATAAGTCATGAAGAAAGCAATAGCAACATACTAAACGATCAAGTGCTAAGCTAATGGAATGGGTCAAGTCAATCACATCATTCTCCTAATGATGTGATCCCGTTAATCAAATGACAATTCATGTCTATGGTTAGGAAACTTAACCATCTTTGATTAACGAGCTAGTCAAGTAGAGGCATACTAGTGACACTATGTTTGTCTATGTATTCACACATGTATTATGTTTCCGGTTAATACAATTCTAGCATGAATAATAAACATTTATCATGAAATAAGGAAATAAATAATAACTTTATTATTGCCTCTAGGGCGTATTTCTTTCAAAAAGTGCACAATCAAAGTATGTCCCTGAATTTGTAAATATTTTGTCGACTGGAAAATGTTCACAAAATTTGAAAAACTTTCAGAAACTTAGAAATTGTTAATGGATCCACGAAATACTTGCGAGTCTGAAATAATGCTCGTGAACTCTAAATTTGAAAAAATGTTGATTAATTAAATATAGGGATAAAGGGAACACAAAATGAAGTAATAAAAAATAAATAAATAATTATGAGAAAAACTGAAAATACCAACAAAAACTAAAAAAGAACGCGTTCTAGAACCCTCCCATATTCGATGGGAAGCTCACGCACAAAAACAGTAAGATGGGTCGGCCCATGTAGCAGCTAGTCCGTGGAGGATGTGCGTTTGACTGGTATCCATCACGTTAGCTGGCCGTAGGTGTAGCCTTCACACCCTTGCTTCTGTTTGTTTTAATTTTACCTCATTTATACACATATTAGTTAATTATCTATGCATTACAATGGGGGCATACATATTTGTAAGTGCATCAAATGCCTCTTTAGAGGTTTTGAAGTATTGAAGACAAATAGATTATGGAATTAATGTATTTATGAGTATACACAGGAGAAAGAGTTCCAGAAGATTTGGTTTAAAACATGAAAAATGACCCCTGAAAAAGATTTCTTCAAGTGAAGAATTTGATGATAAAGTTGGTACGGCCTTTGAAGAAATTGATGTGAAGACTTTGTTTTCATAGTTTCGTTTGCTTCTTCTTTGAGTCATAAGAAAAATTGTACTGTAAAAGGGGTCTAGGTGAAATATATTTTACATTTTCAAAATGATGTTCAAACTTACTCAAACTCATACACAAGCTGCTTCGAGTGAAGCCTTTGGAAATCTCGAGAATAGCTAACACATTTGCTAGCGATAGCGACGAAATTCATCTGGTTGCTGACGAATTTGGTCAGGCTGAGAAGTTAGGAATTCGCCAATGCGATGTGCCTTAAGTGAGGATATTGAGTGCCCCAACAAATTTGAGAGTTCAAATTCCGACTGTTGCTGCGCCCCGTGTCAGCTGTCGAGTGGATCCTTATCCTGACAGTGGTCGAATCAGAGAAAGACATTTATGACAATTCATGTCGGGTTGCCCCTGGCTATAAATAGTCGTCCCCCACAACCACTTGTTGGTTGGCTGCTCCGAGAGAACTTGACACTTGTCATAACAGAGCAACCCATCATCCGACAACTTTGAGAGAATCCTAAGTGAGGAAAAACCCAGAGCAAAAGTGATTGAGTCACTGAAGGGATTAATCTGTGTGATCCGATGCCTGTTACCTTTGAAGTCTGTCGTTCTTCTAGATGGTTAGGCGTCAAGTTCTGAGTACACCAAGAGTCATTGTGCTGTGCCGGTGAATAAGTCTGCGAAGGTTTTGGAAGTCTACCTTGGAGACTTATCCCGAGTGATTGGGCGAGGTCTGCGGGCCTTAGCTCAAAAGGAATACGGTGATGACTGTGCGTCCTCTGAGTTGCGACTCAGCCGCCTCAACTAAACGTACAGTTGATGCAGCAACTGGGACTGGTCTACCAACTTGCATTGTCTTCACCGAGCCAACCTGGTTTCAAATTCCTCAACCCTTCCTTACTTTATTCCGCTGCCGATGAATTTGTGATCTATCCTCTGACGAATTTGAACTGAAGAATTTCATCAAGTTATCTTTCATTTCCTCAATTCTTATTCCTCATGCGTGTATGATTGTTTAATTGCATGTTCTTCACTCTTATGTATCCTGATTGATGACTTAATTTTCCTTGTGTTTCTACTTCTTCACTCCGATCTTCGTCGAATTCTTCAGAGTTTGATGAATTTATAAAAATCTCCCATTCACCACTCTGAGGGAGATAACCTGCGCTTTCAATATTCTAGTGGTTGAACACCAATGTCGTCTGACAAATACCTTACACTCACCATATTCTATATTTTGGTAATATTTAATTCGATTTGCGTATGAGTAGGAGAAGGCAAGGAAAGTTTTGGTTTAGTTAAACCTTTCGTAAGATTTGATTTGATTTGATTTGGGTATGTAGGGAAGGCAAGGAAAGTATCTTAGTAACATTTTATTTAATTTGATTGAATTAATGAATTACGTGGTTTTTAGAAAGTATAAATTTGGTTTAGATTATTTGAAATTCCTCTATTTCTGTTGGTTTTATTATTCTGCGGCACCGATTAAGATTAACAAAAAGAATCAACAACGAACAAAAGAGGGAGGGATACGTGGGGAGAAAAATCGGGGAGAAGCCAAGGCAAACCCACCAACTCCCTTTTAATAGTAGATATTTCATAATATTCGAAAAAATATAAAAACAATATGCATCAAATATTTAAATAAATCATCATAAAAGAAAAATGTACTCACGAAAAATGAGCAGAAACTTTTAAGAAAATTCTTTACATTTTCAATAAAAATATGGCATTTCAACACTTTCACACATTTATAAAAAGCATCATCACATTTAGAAAAATATTATTACCATCCACAAAAATGTTTACATGCTGAAAAGATTATTCCTGGCATTTTCTAAAAAATGTGCATGAGAAGTGAAAAATTATTTGACCAATTTTTTAAAATGTCTATGACATATAAAAACTGTTAGTATGCATTTAAAAACAGAGGCACAACACTTATGAAAATGTTCACATGTTAAAGATTTTTTTTTGTACATTAAAAATGTTCACCTATTTAAAAATATGTTCATGATTTTTCAAAATGTTCTAGAAATGTAAAAATTTGTTTACAGACTTTTTTAACATATTCATAGCATATACAAGATATTTATACCATTTTTGAAAATGTTCATTCCACTAGGAAAGCGTTCATAAAAATGTAAAATTGCTATTCATGTAATTTTTAAAAATTGTTTGTGACATGTAAAAAATCTTTGTACGCTAAAACAAAAGCGATTAAAAGAGTTCGTAGATTTGAAAAAGGAAAATAAATCAAAAACTTGCAATGACAGAGACATGCAGTGAAGTATGAAGGATGAACAAAACGGCAACTGTGTAAGAAAAAAATAATATAAGAAGCGAAGACTGAGTTTTTTCTTTTCGTTCACACGTTTATTTATCTTTTTAACACAACGCAACTGTGAATGCTCACATACATGTATATACACTCATCATTTTGAATATACACATGCACACTCTAAACTTATGAACATCTTCGAGATACTAAGCCCACATCACGTCTTAAAATTAGCGAAGACAGAGTTGTAAGCGAAGATTTCATGACTTGAACGCTACCATGATTACACGTGAGTATATGCAAGTGAGTCATAACAAATCCGTGTATATATAATACACACACTTATAAACTTGACCCACACACAAACAATATAGCACGTGAGTTTGGCCCCTCATTCAATTCGACGTGCGCAGAAACAGTAAAACACGACACATGAAACGCATGCCCGCTCCGTAGCTCGTGAGCTGAACGTGCTCTACAGCAGCGCCGCCGACATGGCCGGGCTTGCCGCGCCCACCGCTGTCTCCTCCTTCTTGTCCTGCGAAAGGAACCGTGCCTCGGCGTTGGCGTCGGTACAGTAGAGACACGGGTGCTGCTCGAACCCCTGCTCTTCCAGCACCGCCCTGGCCTTCGCCACGAGCTCCCGGTTGCTCAGCGGCGCAGGGTGCGCCGCCAGCACGCTCTGCACCGCGCTACTGAACGCCCCGCATGCCTTGCCTCCGCTGGCCTCGTACGCCGGCACGTCCGCTGAGGTCTCGTTCGTCTGGCACCCGCTCAGCAGGATGCCCTCGTCCGGGCGCGGCGGCGTTGGCGCCGGTGCGGGTGTGGTGGACGGGGTGCTGCCGTTGCCGCTGCCGCCGTGAACGTGCAACTTGGCGCTGGCATCGGCGCCGAAGAGCGCCACGAGGTGGTCGGCGACGTGGTGGGAGGAAGGCATGCCCGAGACGGCGGAGAGGTGGTCGAGGATCGCGCCGTAGGGAAGGAACCGGGCGGTGCGCGCGGGCGCCGTGGACCCCGCGCTGGGGTCGGAGCCGACGGAGGGCCCGATCTGTTCCTTCTCCTGGTCGATGAGGCCGCCGCTGTGACACGAGTCGGACACAATGGTGAAGCTCGCGCCCGGCGGCACCCGGTCCACCAGCTGCCGGAAGTCCACGTCCGTGATGAGGTTGAAGTCGGTCGGCACGATCGCTTCCTCCTCCGCGCCGGAGTCGCCGTGGTGCGGCGGGACGAGCGTGCCGTGGCCGCTGTAGTGGAAGAAGAGCACGTCCCCGGGAGCGGCGCGGGCGACCATGTCCGCCAGCGCGCGCCGGATGTTGGCTCCCGTCGGGAGCACCTCGGCGCCGCGCCCGTCGGTGAGCACGGCGACGTCGGCCGGCGCGAAGCCGAAGCGGGCGACGAGGGTGTCCCGCACGGCGTCGACGTCGTTGATGCAGCCGCGGAGCTCGTAGCGCGTGCCCACGTAGTTGCAGCCCACCAGCGTGGCCAGCCTCTTGGTCGTCTCCCCCTCCATCTTCTTGCGCTCCAATCCAATGCAGCTAGCTTTGTCACCTCAGCAATGGATGAAGAGACCAGTAGGCTACCGTGTGCAGATATGCGAATGTTCCCGACGATCGTTAACTCGTTATATAGATGCTTCCTATCTGTTGCTTAACTGTGGATGCAATGCAAGAAACGTGTACTCGGGGTTAAGCAATCCATTTCTGTATATCATTTCCGATGTACGTATTTCCAGTTCGATCAATTAACCTCGTCTGGTAGTACATCCTACACTACTATGGAAGTACTTAGATTAGACGCCTCATCAAGGACGGTTTTCCCATATCGGTGTGGGCGGTTTTGCAAATCATTAATCGGGTCCACATGGCACGAACAAGATGAAGGTCATATCTTGTTTCAAAAAAAAAAAAAAAAGGTCATATCGCAGGTTGAGATATCGTCCCTCCTTCCTTTCAAGTGGGGGAGAGAGCTCCCTTGCGTGCAAGAAATGTGTAAGCTATGTATCTTACACATAAATAATCGGGCCTGCCTTCAAGAGCATAAACCTCCCAGTTTACGTCTCTCTAGCATATACTTCAGCTTGGCTTCCATAACTTCTTTGCGCTTCTCAAATTGCGTAAATGTCAAGTTAAGTATCATCCGATTAATTTGGATTGTGCTTGCTTCTACGCATGGATCAATCATAAACGGTGAGGGTTTTCTTCGATCGTCAAGATTGATCGTGATAATTAGGACCACGAATATGGACATGAATTTCTGGTGGCAATGGCATGTAATCAAAAAAAAATTAAGATTCTTCCAGGGGAGCTCTCTGGTTTTTCTTTCTGAACACAGTGCACACCCACGAATACGACCCTTAATTTTTTTTTTCCGTGAACAAGATTTCAGTATTATTTTTTAGGAAAGTGAACAAAATTTTAGTTTATTTTTCTGAGACAAGTGAACAAGATTTTACCTTTTTTTAGGCAACAAGATTTTCGTGAAAACTGGCGTCCATATGTTTCTTAGAGCCCACTGGCCTTCACATGGGGCTTTGGACCACAAAAGCCCATCGTTTATGATCCGTCACCCGGGCACGAACCGTGCTTCTTATTCTCAAAAAAAAAAAAGAATAAAAAAAACCGCGCTTCTCTGTACGGGGCGGAAGGGGTGGTCGGACGGCGCTACGAGACGACTCGACGAGCGACAAAGGAGCGCCACAGGCCTCCGGCAGCGTCATCGCCGGGCGCTCGCGCAGCGGCGGGTATCAGGCCCGCGTCGGCGATAGCGTCGAGCACGCCGAGCAGGCTCCAGGTCGCGGGTACGAGGCGCTCAGCCCCCTGCTCCTAACCACAACCCCAAGATCCAACCCGCGTTTCACCACCATGAGTGACCACACCCATCGTAATGCATAATCGTTCAGCAGCTCGCACAGCAACCAACGGCGACCCACTACTGCTGTCAGTCAATCTCATCTCAGCACCCGCCGCCTCAACTCAACTGTTTCCCAGACTTCTCTGTTTTTCTCCTCGGACCCGAACCCGAAGCAGGGCAAACGGCGCACCCCCAGTTGCATCAACAAATCGAAAGATTCATTCAGGTTACCTCTATTCCTCCTTACTACGAGTACGTACTACTGTACTACACATAGGTTAAGAAACTAGGAGAGCAACGGAGCAATCCAAGACTAGCGATCGATGGCCCGATTGGTCGACCGATCGATTTGCTTTAGGAGGTCACAGTGCCAGCAACACTGCTACGGTAGGTACATCTATCTAGAGGTACAAAAAACAAGACTCCTCAGTCTTCACGCTTACAGCACGCCAGTGCCACAGAACCACACGCATTGCTCTCTAGCGCTACCTAAACAGGTGCTCTGTCAGGTTTTACTTGTAGTGTTGGGGGACTGCCAGGAAAGGCTTGAAGGTCAGCAAGAGCCCAAGGACCTCTGTCACGTTCAGTAGAAGGAACACCATCTGGTCACCTGAACATACATGACGAATCATGAGATGATTAACACGACAGCTTATACTTTAACCATTGACAACTCAGAGGACTAGTAACGCTGCAATTGACATATGTCTTGGAACTGCATTTTTTACCTGGAAAGAACGCTGCGTGCTGGCGCTTCTGTGCCCACGAGAATCTGCAATCACAAAAATGTTTTCAACAATAAGTTTATCTTCATATTTATGGCTTATTAGAATTGCTTCTGGATTTTAGATTTATTTTCATGTAACACAGCCACATGGGATCACTACGCTAGGAAAGTGATAATAAGACTAGCATCGATATTAATGGCTATGGATAATAGCAACATCTCTGTGTTTACTGAACCAGTATTTCTAAAACAGTACCCATTTTTGCGCAGAAACCATTGTTCAATCTGGGAAGTTCAGATCATGAAATACTTTACTCTTCTTCTTATCTTTCCAACAAAGAGGAGGTTAAGAAAGCAAAACTACTTACAGAACACCTGCCCCAGCTGGAGCAACAGACTTGAATAAGGACATTAATGTTGTGGCTATTCCATTCGCAGCACCTCTTTACCGAAAAAGGGTTGCCCCCGCTTTATATTATAAAGCAACGACCACACGATACAAATGCTGAGGCCACAGCACAAGCAAGCCCAAAAGAAACAAAAAAAGGAACTGAAGAGAAAATAATGCCAACACCGGCGGATCAACGAAAACGATGAGGACCCGCAACCGCCGCGCCCACCGGAAAATACCACCACGCTCCTAGCATTCCTGACCGCCGCATACCAAACAACACCCTCAAGAAGGATTGCGACGATGACGACGCTGTTGCCCGGACATGTCCTAGGGTTTCCCCCGGTACGCGAGGGGTGAGGTGGAAGGGTGTTAGACTGTATTTACATGTGTATATTGTAACGTTGTATACCACCTCATTATATATATATGTGATAGGCCATCCCTAGAGGGTTGTGCCGGTTCCCCCCAAAGCCTATTGTCTTACATGGTATCACGCTAGGTTACGTCCGCTTCCGCCTAAAAACCCTAAACCGCCGCCGCCGCCGCCGCCGCCGCCGCCGCCGCCGCCGTCGCCCGACTGCTATGACGTCCGCCGCTGCGTCCGGCTCCACCGCCACCGGTTTTCTGCCGTCCTCCCTCGCGGCACTTCTCTCGAGGCCGCTGGATGCCGCCTCCCTTCAGGCGCCGATCGGGACACGGAGCGTCGGCTCCCTCTTCGCGCTCCCGCCGGCTGCTACTTCGCCCGGGCAGGCGCTTGTGGCCCACACCGCCGCCGCCCCGTCAACCGCGGCTGTCGCGCCCTCGGCCACTGCGCCGCTGGTGGCGGAGGACGTCGCGCTGGCAGGCTTCGCGGCGTCAACCGCGGCCATCGCGCCCTCTGTCACCGCGCCGGCTGCCCCTCTGACTGTCTCCACGGTGGTCTCACCTCAGCCAGTCTCCTCGATGGGATCGCAGCCGCCGCCGCCGTTTCACTTCGGCCATCTCATCACCATCAAGTTGTCGTCGGACAATTACATCTTCTGGCGCGCGCAGGTTCTTCTGCTTCTTGGGAGTCACTATCTGCTTGGCTATGTCGACGGCTCTCTCCCTTGCCCTCCTGCGCTGGTTGACAGCGTGCACGGTCCGGTCTATAATCCGGCTCACCGTGTCTGGACAGGGCAGGATCAGGCGAACCTCTCCTCCATCCAGGGGTCGCTCTCTCCGGCCGTTGCTGGGCTTGTTGTCTTCGCCAAGACGTCCCACGAGGCATGGACTATTCTTGAGCGCTCGTTTGCGGCACAGTCGCAGGCTCGTGTATCTGGGCTCCGTCGCCAACTTGGGGAGTGTCAGAAGCTTGACTCCACCGCCACTGAGTTCTATAACAAAGTCAAGAGTCTCGCCGACACGCTGGCCTCCATTGGACAGCCCCTCACCGACTCCGAGTTCAACTCGTTTATTGTCAATGGTCTTGATGAGGAGTATGACGCCCTAGTCGAGATCATCAATGAGAGGGGCAACTCCACGCCCATGCCAGCACACGAGGTCTTTTCACGCCTCCTGCTTACTGAGCAACGAGTCGAGACGCGCCGATCCAGGGGCAACGGCGCCCTCTCGGCAAACGCCGCCACCAAGGGTGGTCGCTCCTCTGCTTCATCCAGGGCTCCTTCGGGGCAGTCACCACCACCCGCCTCGGCCCCTCCTCCTACTACGACGCTACCAGGGGCTGGCGGTCCACGTGTGTGCCAGCTTTGTGGTCGCGATGGGCACTGGGCCTCGAAGTGTCATAAGCGCTTCCAGCGGGGTTTTCTTGGTCTCGGCAATGACGGGAAGGATACACGCAACTTTGCTCGTCAGGTCGCCATGGCTGATCGTCCGCCGCCGCAGAAGCCACAGGGACACACTCAGTCCTACTCCATTGATCCCCACTGGTACATGGACTCTGGGGCGACAGAGCACCTGACCAGTGAGATGGGGAAGCTTCACACTCGTGAACCCTACCATGGCTCCGACAAGATCCACACCGCCAATGGAGCAGGTATGCACATCTCTCATATTGGTCAAGCATCACTTCTCACTAGACATGCCAATAGGAGTCTTCAACTTCGCAATGTTCTTCGAGTTCCATCCGTGACACGTAATCTTCTTTTAGTTCCTAAACTCACTCGTGATAATAATGTGCTTTGTGAATTTCATCCTTTTGATCTTTTTATTAAGGATCGGGGCACGAGGGACATTCTTCTTAGTGGGCAGCTCTGCCAAGGTCTCTATCGTCTGGAGCATCCTGGCGTCGCTCGCGTCTTCAGTGGAGTTCGGGTATCTCCGTCACAGTGGCATGCTCGTCTTGGTCACCCGGCCACACCTATTGTCCGGCATGTTTTGCGTCGTCATGAGCTTCCTAATGTGTCTAGTAATAAAGATGTAGCAGTGTGTGATGCTTGTCAGCAGGGGAAGAGTCATCAACTTCCTTTTTCGGAGTCCAGTCGTGAGGTGAAACATCCTTTAGAACTTGTGTTTTCAGATGTATGGGGTCCTGCTCAGACTTCTGTTAGTGGTCATAATTACTATATCAGTTTTGTTGATGCTTACATCCGCTTTACCTGGCTTTATCTTATCAAACGTAAATCTGATGTGTTTGACATTTTTGTTCAGTTCCAAAAACATGTTGAACGCCTTCTCAAGCACAAAATTGTTCATGTTCAGTCGGACTGGGGTGGCGAGTATCGCAACCTCAACTCCTTCTTTCAGTCGCTTGGGATCACTCACCGTTTAGCATGTCCACATACACATCAGCAGAATGGTTCAGTAGAACGTAAGCATCGTCACATTGTTGAAGCTGGTCTGACTCTTTTGGCCCATGCATCTGTTCCGTTTCGTTTTTGGAGTGATGCTTTCACCACTGCATGTTTTCTCATCAATCGTACTCCCACTCGTGTTTTGAATATGAAGACTCCCATTGAAGTTCTCCTTAATGAACAACCGGACTACACCTTTCTCAAGGTGTTTGGGTGTGCTTGCTGGCCCCATCTCCGTCCATATAACAAGCGTAAGCTCGAGTTTCGTTTCAAGAAGTGTGTTTTTCTTGGTTATAGCTCTCTTCATAAAGGATACAAATGTCTTCATGTGCCCACTAATCGTGTCTACATCTCTCGGGATGTTGTGCTTGATGAGCATGTTTTTCCCTTTGCCAAACTCCCTGTGTCCACTACCGAGCCACCTGTCATGCATTCATCCTCTGTTGCTTCTGACCAATTTGATGATGTTGCATATTCTCCTCTATTGTTGCCTAACCATGGTGCAGGCACTGGTCGTGGGGCTCGTTTGGAGATTCTGGAAGTGCCATCTTCCTCTTCGTCGCCATCGCCTTCATCCTCGGCACCTTCTGTTGTGCATGAGGAGCACATGGCGCCCCTGCATGGCCTCGGTTTCCGTGCTCATGCACGGCCGATCGACGTCCTGGCCCGGTCGCCTCTGGCTTCTGGGCTGCCTTCGCCATCGTCGCGCCCTGCAACCCCGCCGACTGGGCCGGCCTCCTCGGTCCCCGTCTCGCCCAGGGCGTCGGGGCAGTCATCACCAGGCCTGGCCTCGCCCGCCCCTGCCTCGCCCAGGGTGTCTGGGCCCTTCTCACCAGGGCCGGCCTCGCCTGCTCTCGCCTCGCCAAGGCCGTCTGGGCCGGTGTCACCGGAGCTGGCCTCGCCCACTCTCAGTTCGCCCATGGCCTCTGAGCCCCTGTCGTCGGGGCAGTCTTCGCCATGCAGCCCGGAGTCGTCTGTCCCGAGCTCGCCTGAGGTGATTCCTGCATCTCCGGCGACCGTCACGTCTCCGTCACCTTCGCCTCCGCCGGCTCCTGCTGCTGCTCTACGTCCACATACGCGCAGTCGGAGTGGCATTTTTCAGCCTAAGCAACGTCACGATGGCATAGTTGCTTGGTTAGCGGCGTGCATGTCTGCTGCTCTCGCAGAGCCATCCTCTGAGCCACGCACGTATCAAGCTGCTATGCGCATTCCTCATTGGAGAGAGGCCATGGAGCAGGAGTATCAAGCGCTTCTTCGCAATCAGACATGGACTCTTGTTCCTCCACAATCACGGGTAAATGTCATTGATTCCAAATGGGTTTTCAAAGTGAAGAGGCATTCTGATGGGTCCATTGAGCGCTATAAGGCTCGTCTGGTTGCTCGTGGTTTTCGACAGCGTTTTGGACTTGACTATGAAGACACCTTCAGTCCAGTGGTCAAGCCTACTACCATCAGACTTCTTCTCTCTCTGGCTGTTACTCGAGGTTGGTTTCTTCGTCAGCTTGATGTTCAAAATGCTTTTCTTCATGGTGTCTTGGCGGAGGAGGTTTACATGCGCCAGCCTCCGGGTTTCTCTGATCCGGATCGCCCTGATCATCTCTGTCGTCCGTCCAAGGCAATTTATGGTCTGAAGCAGGCTCCTCGTGCTTGGCATGCTCGTCTTGCAATGGCTCTTCGTGCTCATGGTTTTGCATCATCAACTGCTGACTCCTCATTGTTTCTTCTTCAAAGGCCTGAGGTTACTATGTACTTGTTGGTCTATGTAGATGATATCATTTTGGTCAGCTCCTCTCAGTCGGCTGCTACTGCGCTTGTTCGCTCACTTGGTGCTGATTTTGCGGTCAAGGACCTTGGGAAGCTTCATTACTTTCTTGGTGTGGAGGTTACTTCTCGTGCTGCTGGCCTTGTTATGACGCAGAAGAAGTACTCTCTGGATTTGTTGCAGCGAGCTGGGATGCTTAAGTGCAAACCGACGACTACACCCATGTCTACCACTGATAAGCTCAATGCTGTTGATGGTGTGCTTCTTTCTTCTTCTGATGCGACAGAGTACAGGAGTATTGTTGGTGGGCTCCAGTACTTGACGATCACGCGACCAGACATTTCCTATGCTGTTAACCGAGTCTGCCAGTATCTGCAGTCACCCCGTGACACTCATTGGTCTGCTGTTAAGCGGATTTTGCGCTATATTCGTTTCACGGTGGCTCATGGTTTGCATATTCGGCCGTCTGACTCTGGTTGTCTTTCAGCATATTCTGATGCAGACTGGGCTGGCAATCCGGATGACAGGCGATCCACGGGGGGTTATGCTGTCTTCTTTGGCTCTAACCTGATTGCCCGGAGTGCTCGGAAACAGGCTACTGTCTCGCGTAGCAGTACTGAGGCTGAGTATAAGGCTGTGGCCAATGCCACATCAGAGATCATCTGGGTACAGTCCTTGCTTCAGGAGTTAAGTATACCCCAATCACAGCCTCCTGTTCTTTGGTGTGATAACATCGGTGCTACATACCTTTCTGCAAATCCGGTATTCCATGCCCGAACGAAACACATTGAAGTTGACTATCACTTTGTGCGTGAATGTGTCTCTCAGAAGCAACTACAGATCAAGTTTATTTCTTCCAAGGATCAACTTGCTGACATCTTCACCAAGCCATTGCCTTTGCCACAGTTTGAGACTTGCAGGCGCAATCTTACCCTTCTAGATTCATTAGAAAGTGGCTAAGATTGAGGGAGGGTGTTAGACTGTATTTACATGTGTATATTGTAACGTTGTATACCACCTCATTATATATATATGTGATAGGCCACCCCTAGAGGGTTGTGCCGGTTCCCCCCAAAGCCTATTGTCTTACAAAGGGGTATGCCCGACGCCCTTCAGGAAGGCACGGCGGCGCCCACGAGCGTCACCGCGTCGGTGCCGGCCCGGCCGACAAGGATTTCTCCCGCCCACCAACCAACCACGACCCCAGACGATCCATCCCGCGCCACCAAACACACCGCCCACCAACTTGCGCCACCACGGTCGAGCAGTCTCCATCGCCGTCTCACCAAGGCAAACGAAACGGGACCGACGGAAACAAGACGACGCAACCGGGAACCAGGAGCGGCAACATCAGCAGCCTCGCGGGAGGGGACATCCTCCACCGCCCCCGGCGGGATCCGGCCGGACGCAACACAGGGGCAAACCGGGCCACCCCTGGCCCAGCCGAGCCCGAAACGGGCTCGCGAAGCCCCCGTCGCCGCGCTGCAGAACGCGAGCCGCCGTCGCCACCAACCCCCGCACGAGTCACGCCCCCGACCCGCCGGAGACGCCGCAAGCAGACCTCTTTGCCCTTGGGGCTGTCCAAAATAAGATCCAACTCAAATGAGGAATTTGTGTACACATTAGTGAATTGGACAAATACTGTTTTCTGCGAGAAAGATCTCGGGCAGTGTTCCGGTGAACTGAGATAAGTTGGCCACGTACCACAGCATTGTTTTGTAGAAGAGAAGTGCCGGAAACTCTAGTTATCTGATCAACATCACAGCGATTAGCATTCGTGAAAGAAAAAAAAATTGAATCAGACATGCACTAAATACCAAGCGTGCATTCTTATCTATGATGATTTAGTGGCACATGTATGTAACTATTAGCTAGAAGTAAAGATGGCTTAAACCTTACGAACAATATTCTCGTAAAGTACTTACAGCAAGAACGCTTTTAATCATTGCTGCAATATAGAGAGCCAGACCAAGTCTTATTCCTGACAAGTGTGTCATAAAGGGATAAGCAGCAATAATTGGTATAGACAGGGCCTGCAATGGTAATCGTCAATTTACAAAAATAGGAGACAGTGAATTATTAAGTAAACTGAAATTGGCATAAAGAAAAAGAGTCACATTAATAACTCACAGATGCGATGCGGGTTGAGTTTACAGGTCCTAGCGTATTATTGAGCCAACGATAAACAAAGATTTGGTATACAAGAAGACTGACACCTACAGTGTAACAGATTGCATGTTTACAGCTTAAAAATAAATCACTAAGAGGTATGCAAAAATGTTCAAAAAATTAGGGAATAAACAGATTAAACTATGCTTACCTGCCACTGTAAGAACTTGACCGACATCCTTAGATGAAAAGCTAAGTCCACCATATTTTCTACCACTTACAGTCCACAGGGAAAATATCTGATGTTGAATTGTAACAAATAACGGTTAGAAAATTTCATCTTACATTCAGCATATGAGCTTTGCATGAAAAATATGTATAAATTTTAGACACAATGGGTCAAGAATTAATATATTTACTGCACCTAGATCTGCAGTGTCCTTTTGGAGAACTTCTATATATCATGATTTAATCATACTGTATATTACCTCACTATATGCAGTGTCATGAAGGGAGAAGACACAATATGTGATAATTGACGACATCAACGGCCAATTTTTCCATAAGCTCTTCTTAGGTGACTCTGTACTTTCCTGAGTTGTGCCAGCTTCAGCCGTTTCAGCTCTCATTTCAAACTTGTTGTGCTTGTGTAGTGTTTCCTGTTTAGTGCATCGATGTGAATACATAGCATTCAAACAAAACTCAATAGATATACATATACAGTATGCATAGTTCAGGTTGTACACACCGGAAGCCATATGCAGCTTATGAGGGCGAAGGTTGCGAAAATTGATATGCAAAGACATGGAAGAAGATATGGCAACCTGCATGGTCGGGATCACATACATGAAAATGGGAAAATATTTATGCCATTTAGTATGAACAAATCAATGATAGGAGAAATGAGTACCTCCCAAACGTTGACTTGTCATGGAAAATGTGTGGATATTGTTTGGCTGGCTGGTAATAAGTAGACAAAAATGGTCAAACGAAAATCTTAGTGAATATGACTAACGCCTGTGATATTACCTGTGCAAGGTAGCCCCCGATTGCTGGGCCAATTATAAGGCCTAATCCCCATGCTGTATTGACCTGAACGTTTATGAAATATCAAACTGAGTTCATGATATGATTCAGTGTTATTATGGACTATGCATAGGTAGTTAAGTGTTTTATGTCGAACTGAATTTACAATTGATATGCCCAAAGCTTGTTCGTCATCCCGGCAAACTTCAATGGAGTAAGCCTGCATCCCCGTGTAACCATAACATTATCGAAATAGACATTTGACATGATTAACAGAAAAAGCTGTTGTTCATTCCTGCGACTGTCCCTTGAGTTTTGTTTTTTAAGGTACCTTGATTGGTGCTAGAAATCCGTTTAGTGCACCAAGAAGCAACCTTGTAGTGATAGCCATCCAATATTTCACACTTAATCCGAATAAAGTGTTGAACACAATGCTGAAATGTGCATGAGGAAATTAGTGTACATTTTTTTTCTCTCTAATAAAAGACAAGAAAATGCAAATTAAATGTTGTGGTAAATTTTCATCCGTTTGGAGGGAAAGATATCGTCACCAATACTTACACCGTGAAAAGTGAAAATACAATTACAGGCTTTCGTCCGATGCGATCTGCAACCATGCCCCAAAAGATCGACGCGAAACCTCTACCAACCATATATGATGCACCTACAGGAGGAATTTAACAGTTATGTACCGAATATTGACATTATTCTGAAACAAAGTAAGTATGCATGAGTTTCGTTGCTCATTGAAACTTTTACTGTGTATGTACAAAATTAGAATTAACGTTGGTACATTTGTGAAACAAAGACAAGTGCATCAAACTTTGTTGGTACAGAATGACAGTTATGTAGTACAAAAAATCTTACCAAGAAATCCAGCATAGAATCCAATATCTTCTTCTCTTTGAGCAACGTGCAAGTCTTGTATCTGATTTAGAGAAGGGAAAAACCTGAGTACTTTCACATTCTTTATTTTGCAAAATATATATCTTAGGAAGATAGCAGATCATAGGGGTGCACAACGAGAGAATAAGTACTAACTGGAGCAGGCCTATTGTAAAAACCGGACACAAGGAAAGGAGTTTCCTGCCTACAGTCGGGTTATAAAAACGTTCAGTAAAATAAAAAGAATAGTTGGCTGGTGATCACTAGGATATGCCCCTGAATCTTGCATGGCATCTGCTTTTTGGCAAATACAGATGAAAATAGCTTACTGGCAAAAAGGTAAATTTTGCATAGCTATCGACCAACCGAACATGTCTGGGCAGTTCGAGACTATCATGTAGTCTATTTTTTTTTATTAGGGTGAGGTGGACTAATATGCAGTCTTAAAACAAGCGTAAAAAATCTCTAAAACAAGCACCCAGACAAAATGAAGAGTGAAATCCAGCTAGTAGCTATGAAGAAAGGGAAAATGGCATGGGTATGTGAAGGCGAACTCACCATGAAGTAGAGAAACGGGAACAGCGACGTGATCGGCAAAGCTGAAAAAGATGGATGGAGACAGATGGACGG